TTATCGGAGTACCCCCTCCGTCAGTCGGCAGTCCAGGGCACTGTGTGTCTGAGTGGATCGCAACGCGATTTTGCGAATCCCACTCCACCACATTGGCTACAACAACTCGTCGCCCCTCCCAAGATATTGTGAAGCTTCGAGTGGCTTGGTCGTAGTCCATCTCGAACCCTTGCTCATGCGCCAATCCTGGTGAAAACAGTCCAAACTCTGCATCTGGTACGTAGAATACATCATCAATGAACATGACGATTTCCTCTCCATCAACTTCGTTCACTAACGCCACCGTGCCCATACCAGCGATCTGTGAAATGATGTGTGGTGACAATCCTCGAACTGTCCTCGCGACTTCTGTGTCTTCGGTAAAGGACACAAAGTGAGATCGAAGCCCAGTCACATGTGAGTTAGACGCTGTATCTAAGTACCACCATGAGCCACGTGTATGAGCTCCTTCTTGACCACCAATCTCTCGGTGCTCTTCCTCAACCTCATTTTCTCGACCATCCCCAGATTCATCTCCATGCGGCTCCTTCTGTTGTGTGGGCATCGCAATGCCCGTCACCACGCCTTCTCTGGCGACTTCCTCGCCATTTAGCACCACAACTGGTGACGCCTTGTCATTCTGTCGAAGTGTGCAGTTGCCCCGTGGTGTCCTTTTATGCTCATTGTCATTGGCCCCATTCTGCTTCTTCGCACGCTCCGGACAGTTTACTTTCAGATGGTCGGTACTACCGCACACGAAACACGGCCGAGACTTTCCTTGCCCTTGTCCCTTTGAACTTGTTTTCTCGTGTCCACCTTTTCCCTGACCTCCTCCTCCTCCCTTGTTCTGCTGACCAGAAAACTGTTTGGCACCAAACGACAGATGCAACTGCTCGTCGGCCTGGTTGGCCTTGTCAAAAGTCACCGCCATAGGCACCACTTTATCTGGTGTGTCCACACACTCCATCCCGGCGTCCACAAAACCTCGCAAACGGTCGAACCGCTCATTGGAGGGGGGCGACGCCACCAGCATTCCGCTGAATACGGCGTCGTCCACAGTCATACCGACTGTCTTGAGTCTTCCCTTGAGTCTGCACATGTAGTTCAGATGCGCTTCGACCTTGCCGTTCTGCTTGCACTTGGCAGACTCCAGCTGCGCGTACAGCTGCCTTTTCGTCATAGCCTTGGTCTGGTCGTTCATCGTACCCTCGTACCGGTTACACAGGTACTTCCACATGGCAGATCCGTCCTTCATGTCCATGAGCTGCTGGCCCATGTCCGTACACACGGACGAAAAGATCAACTCCTGGAGATCCAACTGCCATCCTTCCCACGCGCTGTTCTGCAGCGACGTAAAGCTTTTGTCGTACTTGATCTGCTCACTCATCACCTTATACAAGTCGGCGTCCTTCTTCCGTGCAGCGATTTCCATCAGCTTCTTATAGTACTGGAAGTTCTAGCCATTCCAGCGAATCGGTCGACCGGTTTTCTCAGAGACCTCGACCTCCCAAGATGCATCCGTCGTCGGCTTGGGCATCTTGTCATTACAGTCTTTGCATTCCAGCGAGAACTTGGGCTCAATAACCCTGTTGTGATTCGGATTCGGACTACTTCTGGACTAAAAGGTAAAATGAAGACTGCATTTGTTAGAGCACTAGTAGAGCTCTTGAGCTCTCCCTAGCACTACGGGTTTCAAGCTCCCTACGATCTGGTTTACACCGTCCCAGCTTCCTTCCCATCCGGGCCAGGTCTTGAACTTCACTATGGGCCAGGGGCTTGAACCTTGTACATGTATTCCAATAGTTTTCACCACGATTTCATCTCTTGCATACTTAGCACTAATTGGCGCTTGGCGCAACAAAGCGTCACCGGTTTCAGCCGAGCGCTTTTGACGGCGAAGCTTGCGCACGGACGGTGGCGGGCCGGGACGCGTCTGTGGTGTCTCATTTTGCGCGCCGAGGAATATTTTTTTATAAGTGTGGCCCACCCAAAACTTTTAAAATTTTAAAAGGCCACACGATGAAGCTCATTTGTTTGATTCTCGGCGCTGGAAGCGCCCCGTTCCCTGTTGACATGAACGCGCCGAACGACATAGTTGGCGACCTTAAGAAGGCTATCCTCCAAGAAAAGCGCAACGACCTAGCGGGCATCGATCCGGACAGGCTGGATCTCTTCCTCGCCCGTAAAGAGGAGAAGAGTGGCTGTCGGACGAGCAAGACATCTCATTTGCTAAAAAACGGCTTGCTAAGCCAATCATGGACCGAGACGGAGCTGAATCCGCTGGACGAACTACAAGAAGTGTTTACAGCTTTACCAAAAAGAGTTGTCCACGTGCTTGTCCGGCTCCCACAGGACGTCGAGGCCAAGATGCTCGATGAACTGGGATTGACGGAGGTCCGCAAGACGCGGTTGATCAACCAAATACGCCATCAAATAAAGATCGAACAGCGTGAGGCGGAGGACGAGCGGCGTGAAGCTGAAAAAGCCGAAGAAGAGACCGAACGTATCCGAAAGATCCCAATCAAGCGTAAGCGCGACTGGGATGAACTGAACGATGTACTCAAGTCAAAGCGTGGCAAGGACGGGAGCACGGCGTTCTCGGCCATGGAGTACGGACAGCTGCCGAAGCGGTTCCGGACGGACGAAGGCTGCGTCGAGTCCGGTGCCTTCTACGATCTCATGAACAAGCCTAACGGCCTTACCGACAACACGCTAGACGATCTTCTTAAAGAGATTAAGAAGAAGAACCGGGTGTACCAAGATCCGACTAGCAACGAAGCCACCCGCATCCAGTTCATGAGCGCGATCTTCGAAAGCGTGGTGTACATGTTTAAGACTGATGAGCAGCGAGTACGACTACAAGCGCAGGCGACGTTGACCGGGAACTACGTCAGGTCGAACGGAGTGGTGGACTTCCTGATCACGCGGGGCAAGAAAACTGTTTGCGTCGTCGAGGCCAAGGATTGGCAATTCAAGAAAGGGAGTGCGCAGAGCGTTCTCGGGATGGAGGTGGCTGCGGACACCAACGAAGAAGAGGTGGTTTACGGCGTGGTCACGAACTACGCGGAGTGGCGCTTTCTGAAGCGCACGGATGACGGCATCGAGCGCTTTGATGACTGTATTCATTACAACGGAAAGTACGAGGACGACGTCAAGCGCGTGGCAGGTCGCTTATACGCCATCCTGCGAGATTAATTTTTTTTTCAAATACTATATCAAAAAAAATGGATTTCAATGAATTTAAGCCTGTACCACACATCTTGTTGTATTCGTAGCGGTTTTCAGTAACGCCATCTTCGCGAACAAAACACTTTCGAGGTAGTTGAGGACGCTCGTTGATGTCTATGATAGAGATTTTTAACAGCGTTGTAATCGTGTTTAAGGCTGAATCCTCGATTGTAACATTAATCGAGTGCAGCGCTTGAGTTTCGTAATCCAGATACACGGAGTTGGCCAGTATTATAGTCCATCCGATGGACTATAATACTGGCCAACTCCGTGTAACCACCAAACAAATCCAGTTCCATTTACGATGGAGTCCATCGTAAATGGAACTGGATTTATTTGGTGGTTGACATTAAGAAGTGGAGCACGTCAGCTGCATCCGGATCAGATATTTCGATCGACAGTCCCACATTGACATACAGCAGAGCGTTTTCTTCAACCTCTCGCTTGATAATACTTGAAACGATGGGCGGTCACAATTTCAATAGAATCAACATAAATAACGGATTATGGGCATTATTGACACCAAAATAAATTATTTTATCGGTCAATAAATAGTTTTTGAAC